AGTGTATTTGTCATGACTGAACTGTTTTTGTATGTTATTTCTTAACTTTTAAGTAATTACGGAGGTATCTTTTCTGTTTCCACTTCTCATTAATTAAATTAATACCTGCAACTAAGCATAAAATCTATTGCATGAGGTCTTTCTTCCAGATTTATAATAAAACATTTATCAGAACAAATTTCAGACAAATAGATTTCTCTATTTATTGACTTCCAAACTTTATTGCTATAGTTCAAACGTTTTGTAAATTCTGCATTATAGCAGTTCAAAAGTCTTATTAAATGAGTTCAAGGGTGAAGAGCCCAACTAAATCAGGCCCTCACTCCATTACGGTGACACAAAAAACACCTTAATTTCTGTTGGATCTCAATGGGAGTAGTATGGATAGTCAAATCAGTCAGTAATAAGTGTGTCTGCTGTTGTTTGTGAAGTTGTTTAATGATCCTCTGCTGAGACTAAAGCTGTTTTATTTTATTTTATTTTATTTTATTTTATGTTGTAACTCAAGTCACTGTTTGTGTTTCTTGTTTCTCTTTCCTTCAGTAATTGTGATTATTAACAGCAGGTGTTCATCAGTGTCTGAATCCACTCATTAGTGTTCATTAAAACTGTCAGGTGAACTATATTAGTTAACTAGTGTATGAAGTAGTGAACAAGGACACAAAGCGTGATTTCAAACACAGACTTCAAAACATCGAATCTGAACTCTGTTAGCTCACAGTTTTCTGCAGTTGGTTACTTTCTCGAAAACAAAAATGTTACCCAGAAAGCACTGTTTTTAACAGAATATTACTGTTTTAGTGAAAAAACATTATTTTACTGTAGAATCTGACCGTTTTTTAACAGCAATTTTTTACAGTGTAGGCTCATGATCTGTTAATGATAGCCTGAAACAAGGGTTCTCAATGTCTACATTAAAAGTTCCAAATCTGAATTTTTTTATTAAGGTCAAAGCAAAGGTATGAAACAATTGATATTACATAACTTGTTTTTAATAAACATCCATAAGATGCAGCACGGTGGCGCAGTGGGTATATCCTGGAAAAACACTGAAATAATGATCTCTGTATGAGAGCTGGTCTTTGAAGAGAATAAGGCAGCTAGCCTAATTAAAAAAAGATAGTTACAGTCAAATACAATAATAATTTATTTTAGCAAAGAGACAAAAGTCAATCTATTTTGGACAGAATTCAATGTAAAATGTAAGACATTATTTATAAAGACAGAACGGCCTATATAATTATTTTTGAAGTGTTTGAACATGAATGGCAGCTGTTGTTTTTGATCCAACAGCAGCAAAACTACATGCTGAACGCTGTGAGCTTGCGTCAGAATGATGATGATACATGAGCCAACTTTTATTTTTTCCTTTTTCAAAACAGTTTAGAACAAACCAAACAGAGCAATAAAAAATGGGTTACATGTCAAAGATCAACAGGCTCCAAACTTGTAAACAATAAAAGCACCACAATGAAATTAAAACAAATTAAAACAACTTTTCTTCTCAACCATTTATCCCAATATGCAGAAATGTTATAGGCTTGTTGTCTCAAGTTAAATGTCAGTACTTCTATATCATACACCTCTTTAACAATATCATACCATTCGCCTACAGATGGAGGATCTTCCTTGAGCTATTTCTTTGAAATGGCCTTTTTGCTAGTTGTGAGTAGTGCGTTAAGAAGATACACATAATTTTTGGTATTTCTGCAGAGTAAATTCTCAGGTACATAGTTTTAAAATTACATTAATCCCATAATTAGATTTATCTCTATTTAAATCTTGTGTATAATATTACAGTTCCAAAATATTTTGAAATGATCTGCCAATACATTTTCACATTTTCTCCATCCTTCACCATATTTTGATCTCTAGTTTAAAAGTATTTTATTTTAGATGTCATAAAGAACCTGATTACATTTTCCTAATAAATACCCTCTATGAATTAATTGTGATCATCTGTGTTTCCCAAATAGTTAACCATTCCTCATTTGCTATTATTATATTGGCTTCTCCTTCCCATTTCTGTCTGATACACATTGTTGAGTGTTTCTATGTTAATGTCAGACAGGAATAAATTCTTGATACTAGTTTTTTTTATTAATCTTTATTTTTTGTAAGCATTTATAAATACCTGCACTCTTGTTGTTTTTATGTCTTCTAAATCTCTTATGCTTTTATTGAAGTAGTGTGTAACTTGAAGGTAATGGAAAAAGCCTTTTTTATCCAAGTTACATATATATATATATATATATATATATATATATATATATATATATATATATATATATATATATACACATACACACACACACACACACACACACACACACACACATATATATATATATATATATATATATATATATATATATATATATATATATATATATATTTGAAAGTTGTTGAAAACCTTCCAATTCAGAAAAGGTAGGCTTGGTAATATATTCATCCTTATTATCTATTCAATTGTATAGATCTAAAGGTTGAAGGAGCCGTCTGTTCAAAAACTTTTTCATGGTTTCTGTAATGGGGAATTATTTTATTTTATAGATATCTTATAGGTATGCAGCGATTTGAACTCCAACATATCTGATATGTTGTTATATCAGATGTAAGTTATGTACATGTTACTCATGTAAGGTATGATTACAGCATTCAAAAAGCATTTACATCAATTGTTCTTTGAATATTTTATACCATTCTGCAGAGAAGCCATCTATGTCTAACATATCGTTTTAGTTTTGTAATCTTTGATTTTAAATATCCTCCTCTCTGCCTGTCGTTTCTTTATGCTTCATGCCAGGAGCTTTTTGGACCATTTTCATAAAATTTTAAAATGTAAGTTTTATTTGTACTTGCTCATCAAACATTTTATTGAGTTCTTCTTTAACTTCTTTAACCCTAACCCTATTGTTAAAATATCTGGATCTTTCTTATTACCATATTTAGTCTCTAATTCTTCAAGTTGTATATTTAGATTATTTATGTAATTCAGTTTTTTTTTTTCCTTGATCCCCACATTATAAGTTTACCTCGCGTAACAGCTTTAGCTGTGTCCCATATAATACTAGGTGACACCTCTCCATTATCATTATGTTTTAAATAGTCTAATAGTTCTTTTTTAACATATTCTACTCGCGTTAAATCATTCAAATGATTAGGGTTAAATCGCCAAAATGTCTTACTGGGTTTATTGTCCAGGTAAACTGTTAAATATACTCCTGCATGGTCTGAGATGTCCTTTGTTCCTATTTTACAGTCTTTTATTTTTGTTGATCTGACCCAAACATAAAAATAAAATAAAAAATCAATTCTAGAATGAGAAATGTGGGCGGAAGAAAAAAAAAGTATATTCTTTTTTAAGAGGGTATATGTCTCTCCATACATATATCGAGCCTAATTCTTTCATCAAATATCTGATTTGTCTAGTTTCTTGATTATTTGCTTATTAGACGATGAGTCTAATTTAGGCTAAAGTTGTACATTTCAGTCTCCCCCACAGATCAACATACCTGAAGCCTTCTTGGCTATAACACTTACTATTTTTTTGAGAAATGCTTTGTCTTTTTCAGGTGGTCTATATATACTAACTAATGTAACTTTGTATTGGTCGATAGTTTCTTTAATTAAGTTATATCGCCTTTCTTTATCAGTAATCTTAGAAATTAAATGGAAGTTGATTTTATTTGAGATTAATGTCATTATTCCTCGTTTACAACCATTATTATATGAGGAAAAGAAAACCTTAAATCCCATTGTTTCTAATTTCCTATGTTCTGTATCAGAAAGATGAGTCTCTTGCCAGAAGATTATCTGTTGGTTTTTTCTTTTAATTTTAGCCACTAGTTTGCTTCTTTTAATCAGATTTAGTAACCCATTAATATTCAAAGTAATTACTCTATATTTCTGTTTTTGCATAATCAGATGTTTTTGCGAAGATCACTGTGATCGGAACATGAAAAACGCAAACATGAATACTTTGGATAAAAGCGTCTGCTAAATGACTAAATGTAAATTCAAGACTGCATTTCCCAACGTTAAACTATGTACACTAGATTTGTGATTAATAATGGTCTCTGCATAGCCGAGGACTTCCTATATTAAGAGTTAAAATCGCTATTGAAAACAGAAGTCTAATATAATCAACGGTGGACATTTTGATAGTGTTTCACAACATCAACATGACTGAAGTTTAATCTTTTTATTCCCTGTGTCAATTTGGGCATCAACTTCTGACGAATGCGGGGAACTGATGCGCGCAGCACCGTCACAGAGAGATAGCAAAGTGCCGCGAAAACAGAGGGAGCCCCCAAATGTGCCTTTGAGCCCCCAAATGTGTCATTAAGTTTGAGATGTTTCCCCCTTACACAGACTTTTGTAAAGACAGTTGCTGTGTAAGAATCCTTGCTTGTAAAAAACGCTTTAGAATGCTTAGTTTAAGCAAATTGGATGAACGTGATCACGCATGTTGATCTGAAGCGTGTCGCTCTCGCTCACCGAAAACCACTGGTTCCAGGCTGAATGCTCTGTACTCTGCGCATTGCGTGCGTCTGTTCCCTAGCGACAATAACAATCGCCTGATATCGCTGTCGGTATTCCTCAAAGTTGTTTAGAATTAAAGGTTTAGTGATGCTGTGACATATCGCCTATATGTGCCTTTTTTCATGCACCCCTCACGTCCATGCCTCAGCACCGAAATTCATACGCTGATTTAATACTGGTACATACCGGTTACCAAGGTAACGGTGTTATAATGGCACCGGGTTTCGGTACCCAACCCTAGTACACACTGATCATGTCTACAGTTTATCTCCAGTGTGAATCCTCTGATGTTTTTTCAGGGTTCCTGAGTGAGCAAACCTCTTACTGCAGTGTGAACACTTGTACGGTTTTTCTCCAGTGTGAATCCTCTGGTGCCGTTTCAATTCTGCAGCTGTAATAAAAGTCTTCTAACACTCCAAGCACACATACTCTTTTACACTAGTGTGAATCTTCATGTGGTTTTTAAGGTATGATGATTGGCTAAAACTCTTCCCACACTGAGTGCATGTGAATGGTTTCTTTCCAGTGTGGATCATGATGTGTTGATTAAGGTGTGATGAGTGGATGAAACTCTTCCCACACTAAGGGCATGTGAATGGTTTCTCTCTAGTGTGGATCCTCATGTGTTTATTAAGGGATGATGAGCGGCCGAAACTCTTCCCACACTGAGTGCAAGTGAATGGTTTTTCTCCGGTATGGATCCTCATGTGTCTATAAAGCGACGAAGATTTGCTGAAACTCTTCCCACACTGAGTGCATGTAAATGGTTTTTCTCCAGTGTGGATCATCATGTGTTTTTTGAGGTATGATGAATCGCAGAAACTCTTCCCACACTGAGTGCATGTGAATGGTTTCTCTCCAGTGTGGATCCTCATGTGTTTTTTGAGGTATGATGAATCGCAGAAACTCTTCCCACACTGAGTGCATGTGAATGGTTTTTCTCCAGTGTGGATCATCATGTGTCTATAAAGCGATGATGATTTGCTAAAAATCTTCCCACACTGAGGGCATGTTAATGGTTTCTCTCCAGTGTGGATCCTCATGTGTTGATTAAGGTATGATGAGTGGCTGAAACTCTTCCCACACTGAGTGCATGTGAATGGTTTCTCTCCAGTGTGGATCCTCATGTGAGTCTTTAGTTTGCTTTTGCTTGCCAAACTCTTTCCACACTGAGTGCAGGTAAAACAACTCTTATCTCTCACTTTTACAATACCATCAGTCTCTAAATGAGTTTTGTCCTCAATTTTGACATGATGTTCCTCCTCTTTACTCTCCTCGTAGTCTTTAATTAGGTCTGAAATAGAAATAAGTTTACTTTTTAGTAAATCATAAAACTCAGTGAAAAGGAAGTGAAAACATTGGCTACACAAATCTTAATTTTGATGCACATTAAATGTAAAGACATAGCAGATCATATTTAGATTGATCTTGTCATATTAACCCCCTGGAGTCCATTACACAGATACACATTTAAGCAGATTCTTATATGATTATTCCTAGATTAATTTTGGTCATATTGATGAGACATAAATTTGAAAGCTGTAAATGGTCAGTTTCTATTTGTATATATTCGTAATCACAACAAAACAATTTGTTTTTGTAAAACTTGTAAAGCAGATAGGGAATGCTTTTTCATTCTGTGCCTGACTGGTAAACCTGTTAGAAAAACAGCTGAATCTCTGCTAATATTTGCCTCATAGACATATATGACACATGTATTATATCTGCATAAAGCTTTAAATCTGCACCTTTAAATGACAAATGTTCTAGAGGTATGTAATCTGTATGTAACAAATGCAATGCAGAAATCTAACACTTAACTGTTTCAGATCATCAAACAAATGTAAATATTAGTCAAAGATAACACAATTAAACACATTGTGCAGTTTTTAAATCAAGTTTTTATTCTTAAATTGAAGACAAAATACTGAACTACACAGACTTGTGTGAAAAAAAAATTCCCATTAGAACAACTTTAATTTATCACACCTGCTTCAAGTTCTCTAGCCACACCCAGACCTGAATACTACCACACGTTCGCAATCAAGAAATCACCAAAATAGGACCTGTCTGACAAAGTGAAGTAGACCAAAAAAAGCCTCAAAGCTAGACATCATGCCAAAATCTAAAGAACTTTAAACACAAATGAGAAAGAAAATACTTGTGTCACGAGTTAAAAAAAGAGTGAGCTCAAATGCAAGTCTTTATTGAGAAGCGAGTCTTGGAAAAAGCAAAAGTCAAAGTAAACACCCGGTCGGGTGAGCGCTGAGGAAGTGCCGTAGGAAAAAACAACCAGACACTCACTCACTGGTGGTCTTGGAAACATACAGGGTGAGTAACAAAATAATATGCACAGAAATGATCGATAACATACTGACAAACATGGAGGGGAATGATGTGATATAAACAGAAAAAAAGGCAAACGAGAGCTCCTGTGACTGCATATAAAACCAGATGACAAGAGATAATCTGTAATACAGATCAAAGCCCCTTTCACACAGTGATACCGGTAAATATGCAGAAAATTTCCGGAACGACTTTACCGGTATATTCAAAAAAGCGCTGTTCACACAGGCGAGGACGTTACGGAAATTTTCCAGAAAAGACCTTTCACAAATCAATTCCAAAATACCAGTAAATTCTGACATCATTCACCACAAATGAGCCTTAAACGGCTGCGCTTGTATTTGTAAACATTTGACTACATTACAAACTCTGTGGATGATCAATATTGTGAACAACTTCGAAGAAAACATATGGAGGATCACTTTGGCATGTCGAGATGTTCATAATATGTGCGTGTGCTGGCTCTCACAGGCTGTTTCACAGGCACACGCTAAGTGTGAAGGTAAACAAACGGCGGCTTACCATAAGCATCTCATCGATGATTATTTACACAGTTGGCATTAAGAAGAACATATAAACATTATCTGACTAACTTCTAGCAGCTAAATGCGTCTGGGAAAATATTCAAAGGCTTTTATTCTCATAAACCGCGCGGACGTAAACGCGTCTGACTGTTCTGATTGGCTCAAGCAGACGTCTCACGTCAGCACGTTCTAGACGTGCACGCGTTCTTTCCGGCAATCTTCCTTCTGCATTCACACAGCGCAGCATTCCGGCATATTACCGGGAATGTTACAACTTCTCTTTTTGGAAAATAGCCAGAACGAATTTACCAGTATTTTCAAAAAGGACCTGTTCACACATACAACCTTTCCAGAAAATTGCCGGTAATTTTCCGGAAAGGTCTGCATGTGTGAAAGGGGCTCAAGAGAAGAGAGCCAAAGAGTAAGGTATCAAAGGAGGATGTCACATCAAAGATTCAAGAGTTACCACTCAGTGGGTTATGTCACAAGAGTCGCGTCACTTTATTGTGGCTTTGAGGCTCAATGGGATTCTAATTACTGGCCAAAGTTATATAAAATTACACTTTATTACAATATATATGTTAAATATAAATAATTATAATATGCATTATATAATATTAAATTAAATTACATGGGGGCCATGGGGGGTGGTTCGTTCAAACAACCCGAAACCCCCTGGCTACGGGCATGGCACAGTGATCTGTGTCATTACAAGGGCTTTTCCCACAGCTGGTGGAGAACACGAGAGTTCGGTTTGAGTTCAGTGTAGAGCATACATTTTCATTGTTTTCACTGTAAAATCCTCACTGTGTGCGCAGATTAAAGAGACATTTATGCAGAATGCATCTTTGCACCCAAAAATGTCAAACGCAGCACCAGGAACAGATTAAAACAGTTGTTATGTGAACTTGATGTAAAAAAGCCTGCAATGCTTGCACCGCCTTTGTGCTCTACTTATTGGCTCACTGCTCTACAACTGAATGCAAATGATTGGTTAATATCAGCTGTCAATCACTCAGTCAATGCCTTCTGCCTTCAGATGATACAACTGCGAAAATGTGAAGCGCTGAAGATGAGAGAATGAAAATAACATACAGATTTACCTAAAGATATTAATAACGGCGCATCTTATTAGTGATCATGTGCTGAGTGTTAATCCACCATTTACACTTTTCCAAGAGTGGATAAAAGACTTCTAGTGGCTTCAAGTCCGCAGGTAACAGTGTTTGGCACTGAACCTACACATTTAAGCACGAGAGGTATTGTATAATCCTTCATTTAATCCTCACGATCCTGTCAACCGTGCAAGCGGCAGCTATATGTAACATTTAACACAGCTCATGAAAAGACTGTTATTGCTATTACGATGACATGCAAATAATAAGTTATATATCAATATAAATGTGGGGCGGGGCGATGGATCGTGATGCCGGCTCAGCATCATGAAGTTTGTTGGCCATCGGCAATGGACAATGGCATCTAAAAAAAAAATACAATTGATCAGCTACAATCAACATCATCTTCCGAAGAGCTTCATAAGAAAATACTTATTCTGCAAGCGGAATGACTCCTTGAGGATCTCCACATAAGATCACGCCAGATTCATTATGAACATGGTGAACTAGCTGGCAGGTTATTGTGTTATCAACTGAAACAATCCTCAGCAGCTGGTGTTATAGCAGCAGTTAGTAAGGATGATGGCAGTATTATTACTGAACAAAAGGGTATTAGTGATCAATTTAAAAACTTCTATAAAATTTTTTACAGCTCTGAGGTAAACTAAATTGAACGTTTTGAGAGCTTTTTTAATTATTAAGGATTACCATCCCTCTGTGATTCAGATCAGTTGACAAAAGAAGGAATTTTAACACCTTCTGAAATTGAAAATACAATAAAAAAAAATCAGAAAAGCACCAGGCCCTGATGGCTTCCCGGCTGAGTTTTATAAGAAGTTTTGTGCCAACTTAACACCCCTGTTGTGCAAGGTATTCGCTAAAGCTCTTGTCTCTGATTCACTCCCCCCTTCATGACATAGGCTGTTATAACAGTACTTCTTCAAAAGGGTAAGGATCCACTTAAATGTGAATCTTATCGTCCGATCAGCTTACTCTGCTGTATAAAATCAAGGCTAAAGAGCTGGCAATCAGAGTGGAGTCAGTCATGAGAAAGAGAATTCACCCAGGTCTAACTGGTTTTATTGTTGGGAGACAGTTATCTTACAACCTTCGTTGCTTATTTAATATTATTTATTTACCTAAAAATAATACCAATCCAGAGGACTTAATTACTTTAGATGCCCATAAGGCATTTGAAAGAATAGAGTATATCTATTCATTTACAGTGCTTAAAAATTTGGTTTTGACCCTGGACCAAATGGCTTGTTTCCACTGACTGGTACAGTATGGTACAGTTCGGGTCGGTACGGGTCACCTTTATCAGGCTTGCGTTTCCACTACCAAGGGTACCCTTTTAGTGGGTGTGGTGTATGACAAAGTTTTAGTCGACGTCATTTTCGCTCGAGAAAATTTCTACAATAAAGCTGCACAGGTCGTTCACATATCATATGAAAAGCACTTCTCACAAAACAGATGCTTTACACACATAAATACTTGTGTATAAATGTTTATTACTAACTTTTCTATGAACATTAGTTGATTATAACTGCAGATCAATGACGGTGCGAAATGGCCTACTGTAACGTCTGTAATTATATAAAGTAATTAAATAAATGAAGATATATGAACACATACAGACCCTTACAGTCTCCGATATGTTACCAACTACAGAAGAACTACACAAAGCAGACATTTCGTCCTTAATTAAGTTCAAAACAACACAAAGTATAGCCAGGGCCGGAGCAAGCTGAACTGCCGCTCTAGGCAGAGGACGATCATGCCGCCCTCAACCCTAATGTGAAAATGAAAGTGACCGGTTATGAAAATGAAGTGAGGTGTCGCAGACCTCTTAATCAGAACACTATGCGCGGATATAACTGAGGACGCGCGGGTGCTGAAGGAGAGAGGGAGGGAGGTGTCGCGGACACTGCGCTCTCTATTCTGCCGCCCTATGCGCGGATGTAACTGAGGACGTGCGGGTGTCGCGGACCTCAATTCTGCCGCCCTATGTGCGGATATAACTGAGGACACGCGGGTGCTGATGGAGGTGTCGCTGAGGCCGCCCTCTCTATTCTGTCGTCTATGGGCGAATATATCTGAGGACGCGGGTGGTAAGGGAGGTGTCGCAGATGCCGCCCTCTCTATACTGCCGCCCTAGGCAGCCGCCTAGGTCGCCTCTATAGA